CTCTTACAGCGCAGCTTGGGTGGCCGTAGGAGTTGTAGTGGCGAAGAGCCTTGCTGCTGGTGGTTTGCATCACCAGCACCTTTTGCTTAGCGTCGCTCCTCCTTGCCTGCTCATCCACACCGCTTGACTCGTTCGACAGCCGGCCTTCCCGTCGTCAAGCCTCCACCCTGCTTGACTGAATTCTGAGCCATTGCAAGTTGCATAGCGCTCACTCCTTGCGGGCCTTGCGGGTATTACCAGCTCTTCGTGGGAAGCTTGACTTGCCAGCATCGCTCCATGCCGCCCTCCGCACGCCCCCGTCCTCAGCGCTCAGCTCCACGGTCCACAAAGCCTGACACTGCTCGAGCCCTCCACGTTCAGAAGGCAAGCGTGCGCATGTGGGGCGCGCGGAGGGCGGCATGGAGCGATGCTGGCAAGTCGTAAGGAGGGATCGCTACGCAATGTCCTACACCGCACACTCGAGGCTCAAGCAGATGTATGAGGCTTCACACCTCCATTGATGTAGAAACAATGGGGCGGAGGGACGGTGGTCCTACACAGCACACTCGAGGCTCAAGCAGATGCTTGGGGTGTGTGGGCATGGACTGGTGAGGCTGCAGCGGCTGTGATGGATTCAGAAAGGCAGGGTGTGGGCGGAGGGACGGTGGCGACAACAATCTCACACTTATCGGCATACCGAGGTTAGACTAGCTTGCATGATGGAAACTCTTGTGGCCTTGCAGCCGGCATGGCTTTGTCAGTGGATTTGTCCCGCTTAACTTCGCTTTGAAGGCGACACAGCTCCGAGGCTGTTAAGCGGGACAGGCACCTCGTGACGCAGTGGTGTTGCTGCAGATCGAGGCTAAAGGACTGGTGTAGTGGAAAAGGCAGAGCTTCACGTCTGATTGGTACAGTCGTGCCTTTCCCGCTGCTGCACGGCACAATGTTGGTCGAAGCATCCACGCACTTGGGGCAAGAGACGGCGTTGCATGTGCATGGCCTTTTGTCCACGGATCCCGCACTCCACAGTGACAGCATAGCACAAACATATCCGGACGCAGTATATCACTTGCTTGCTAGTGAGGCGTCGAGACCCTCCCACTTCCTTGATGTGGTTTGTGTAAGGCACACTGCACCGTAGCCCGTAGCACAGTCTGTCCGGCATTCAGAACCAGCCAACTTTCAGAATGTAGCGTTAGCTAACGATGTCCCTCCCCAGCGTGGGGTGAATCATCAGACAGCTTTTTTTTAATTGGTGCCCTTTGCATCCCATGCAACCGTCCACACTCATCCGTCTCAGTATTTCCGTCAGAGCATGCAGATGAGATCAGATGAGCAGCTAAGTTGGCCATGTCGTCGCCATGCAATGCGGCAGATGAAGCGACCAATGGCAACGCCACCAGTGCAAGCAATGCAAGCAAAGCTGGTCAAAAGGATGAGAAGGACGAGAAGGTGACATGGAGAAAGGTGAGCAGTGTGTGCTAGCAAGTCTTGTGACTAGTCGTGATATTCAGGCGAGCGAGCCGGAGACCTTCTCACGCTTCCGCGAGGTAATCTCTACAAAGGTGTCTTGGACGGAAAAACAAACGAATCTGTGGGAGGGGCGCGCTGTCTTAGGGAGCAGTATGTGTTTATCGTGGCCATCGGAGACAGAGACAAGTCCAGACATGTTGAGCATATTTTGCCCCACACCTCTCCCGCCTTTGTTGTGAGTAGCTGGAGCCTTCCAAATCAGTTGGTTCTTTGGGAGCGAGGGCTTGGCTTGCTTGTGCCATGTCTGCCAGGCTCACGAGCTTTCAGCTGAAATCTCCACAAAGGCTAGTCTGGAAGGGCTCGGTCTGAAGCCTGTTGCAATATCAAGCTTTGCTTGCGCAGGCGACTCCCCTACTTGCAAAGGCACAAGCGAAGGCAAAAGCAGTGAGTCTTCTCAAAGCACCAGAAGCTGCTTTGGCTGGGCAATGCTGGTGACAGGCCCACGAGATCTCTGACGAAATCTCTACAAAGGTAGCGCTTTGTGCAGCGGTTTTCTTGGGGGCGAGAGAACTAAGTGCAACTTGTTCTGCCTCTGTCCTCTTCTTTGACGGAGGCCACGCACTTTACAGCGAAGGCGCAGGCGAAGGCAACGGGGGAGGGAGGGGGTCTCTTTTTTGTGTGAATTATGAGAGGTCTATTTGAACCAGGCATGAAAATATATAAACGTGGCATATGACAGAGAGAGAGAGAGAGAGAGAGACCCTGGGGAAGAAGAGAGAGAGCGGAAACTCGCGAGAGCGCGCGCGCAGAAAGCGGCAGCTCCGCGTCGATATCGAAAGTTTGAATCGAGCTTCAAAAGGTTCAAAGTTTCAAAAGCCGCAGCTGGTGCCTTATCTTAAACTCGCTGCCTCATCAAGTGACGGCGGTTATGCTTGCATCTTAAGCCCCGACCCCTCGTTAGATAGTGACGCCTGACCTCACATCTTGAAAATCACCCTCCTGTTTGGGCGAGTGAGGTTGATCCCATATCTGCCATATCTTGAGGCGAGTGCGGTTGATCTCATATCTTAGTCCCGTCCCGCCATTAGACGGTGGCGGTTGATCCTATGTTTTCCATAATTTTTGACCCGACCCTTAATTAGGTGATGGCGGTTGATCCCATAACTTGAACTCGACCCCTCACGAGGCGATAGCGATTAAGCAAATTAGATATCTTTTGTAAACCCGGCAGCTCAGACGACGGCGCTTGCTCTCACATCTTGTTTCCTGCCCCTAAGTGGGGCACCTCACTAGGTCATTGCCATTGATCCCATATCTTAAACCCGGCCCCGCACTGGGCGATGGCGGTTGATGGCAAATATTGCATGCCTTAGCCCCTCATCACTCGATCGGTTGATCCTGCATCTAAAGCTTGCCCCTCTTTAGGCGAAGAGAATTGATCCAATATGTCAAACTAAAGTTCTGTTTTCGTCCTTCGGATTACCGTACATGTAGGGTTGCTTCAAGTAGGATGTTGTTCAGGCTTTATGCAATTCTCAAAATCCGTTTCGAGATTCAAAAATTCAATATTTGTGAACCTTTGAACTCTTCGAACTCCAAACTTTCGAACCTTCAATTTCCCATGCTTTCAAACTTTTTAGCGTTCAATCTCGGGCGTTCCACACTTTCAATTTCCAACCGTTCAATCTTTCAAACTCGAGCCTGGTAAGTGCCCCGTGGACTCCTGCGTCCTCTGTCTCCAAAATCGAACTCGCGCTAGTTTTCAATTTTCGATTGTTTCAATCTGTCGATCTTGAAACCTTTCATTCTCCAAACTTTCGAATGTTCAATTTCCCCAATCTCGTTCTACGTTTGATACATTCAGACCTTCACAGATTCGAGTTCGAAAAACCTTGCTCGTGGCAACTATCCTTCTTCGACCTTTCGCGAGGCGCATGAAATTTCCGACTCACTCTTTGCCCACATGCTCAACGCCGAGGAGCAGCTTGGGCAGATGACGGCAGATGGAGTCAACTTGCATTTCTCTCTGCAAGGCCGCGGCATCTGCAGCCATGGCCCGGCGGCGGGCGCTGGTGGGCCTCGTGGACGTCCTAGTGGCTGCCTGGCAAATGAGAGGTCTTGGGGACGGCTCTTTGCAGGGGGCTGTGAGCGAAACTCCGCGAATGCTCCCTCTGGTGATTCTTGAGCCAAATACAGGATGTGGAGGTGTGGGACGACAATAATGGGGTGGCAGGGTTCGGCCAAACACCGCTGTGGCTCTGGCATGAAGACGGCGGGCCCGCAGTCACAGAGCTCCTCGAACACCGCATGTAATACCAACGTAATCGTTTGTCGTTTTAGATGCAGTGCTGTGATGGAGGCCGTGGAAACTCACGAGCAAGCTCAGGGTCATGTTGAAGGCCTAGGATGGTAGAACGGCTGTAGCCGGGGAACGAAGGGCATCACTGTGCTTGATGCAACATATTTGCTGGTTCCGGTTTCCTGCTGGCTCCTGACTCCTACGGAGCCTTCTGGCCTAGCTGCCTACCCCTGTGGCTTAGGCACCTGTATTGAGCCCGAAGCTGCCTAGCTGTTGCCATGCCTCGTCTGGACATGCCAAGCGGGCCAAGCAATGTGCTAAGCGACGAGCCTGATGTGGAGTGGAGTTCTGTCGAGGCAGAGGTTCCTGGCGAGCGAACTGAGCGAAAGGGTCAAGGCATCAGGGAGAAAGTCGCGCAGCGCTTGGAGATGATGGAGCTAGTTGACCCAAGCTTGATGCGTGCCGCACGCACTCATAAGGCCATCCAGGCTCTGGCCCAGGAGTGCCTGGGAATTGAATCAGAGTCTCGACTGGACAGCAGTTTCGTGGTGCAAGAAATCTGCCAGTTTTGGTCACATAGTTGGCATGGATCCGCATGGAAGAAGCTTCTCCTGGTGCTGGCAATGGAAAACGGACTGGCTGCAACTGTCTGCGGTACGTTGGCTGGACTGATTGCCATGGTACTCTATATCAATGGTCTCTTGCCAGGAGGTGCAAGGCCTGCCATCTTAGGCGGAGACCACGGCACATCATTGTCTCTCTGGTCAACTGCATCGGCTTCACTCACGGCACTGCTGACCCTCTGCTTCTGGAGACCACCACGGTCTGTTTTCTTGGATGCATTGTGCGTGGATAGGCAAACACCTCGCAGAAAGGCGGAGTGCATCGTAAGTCTTGGTGCCTTTGTGAAGCGATCAAGAACACTCCTCGTACTTTGGGACCACACGTTCTGCCAACGCCCGTGGCTTAGCATTCCCTTCAACGAGTTGAATCAATCGTGCCTTCAAGCACAGTGCTGCAGTTGACACCAACCCAAGCAATGTGCTGCGCGCAGATTGTCAAACCCGTCTATATGCACAAACCCACAACCCTCGTACTGTACCAAGCGTAGATGTTGGAGTCCTTTCTGTGTAGGGGAAATAAGCATCCCAGGTTACGGAAATATTTTTCGAGGGTCACAGTGGTATAGTCAACAGAAAGTTGTGCACTGTAAAAACTATTCCAGGGCTTAAGGCTCAAAACATCATTCGGCATTGGTCTTTCCAGGAGGTCAAGGTTCGGGTTTAAGCTTTAGGCTTGTTTGGGGGGTGATAGCAATGCTAGTAACGTAGTCGTAGGAGTCGCAGTAGTCGTCGTAGTCGTCGTAGTAGAGCGGTAGTATGCTCGTAGTTGTGCTAATCGTAGTCAGAGTCGTCGTCGCCGTCGTCGTCGTCGTCGTAGTAGCGAGGAGTCAAGGAAGCCATGCGTTGCACTTAATTGGGCAGGTCTTATGACGCTGTCTATCACTGTAGGGGATGGCACTGAAGAGATGCAATGAAACTTGTGGACAGAGAAGACCACACATTGCCAGTTGCATTTTACAACAGTTCGCGGCGAGTTGGGTGTGACGGGATTCCTAAGGCCTGTGGTGCATATTCGAAATTGGCGCGTTCTTAAAGAGCCATGAGGAAAACACTGCAGCTCGAATGTTGGTGAGGCCTACATATCTGGGGCCGTGTGTATTCTCCCTTGCCCTGGGCATGTTGCTCACCATGGGAATCATGCATTTTATCCGGTGGAACAACCTTCTGTTGGCAGTCATGATATTTGCTGGCTGGGGTTACTTCGGCTTCTCCCTGGCAGTTCATGCATTCCGCCACTATTTCGAGTCTGTGCGAGTGACGCAGAGATGCATGGCAAACTTCAGGATTGAAGATGCTCTGTGTTACTGTTGCCAGAAGGCTCACCGACGTCCAGACGGGACGAAAATCATTTGTGACAGGGAAATCGTGTGTGACTGCATCAAACGCTGGTATGGCAGTGCCGCGGAGTTCGAGGAACGTGTGCAGTCTACCATCTCGAGTGCCTTGACTTCGCAGCTTGGAAGGCATGCATTCCCGTATCTCTGGGTGCTGGGTTCTACGACGCCTATGCTATGGGGCGAGATGGACCTCTTTGCTGCCCACTACCAGGCCAACTGGCAACCGCGTCGGCTTTACTCGACCGTCATCGTTTTCGGCTGGTGGCTTGGAGGCTTTCCAATGATAATGTGTTTGGCGCTCTTCGTGTCCGAAAGATGTTGCAAACCAGCTGGATCGAAAATGTGGGATGCTCTCCAGACTTTGGCCGTGACGCTCATTGTTTTTCCTGCCTACCTCGCTCTGTTTGTTTATCAGATCTGTTGCGAAAGGGCTTGGTCCGAACCCATGCCTGGAGCCATCCTCTGGGCGCTCACGACATCACCAGCAGCCGTGCTACTCTGGCATCCATATGCTTTTCTGAGAATTTTCGGAATGCGTGACAAGAAAGCGCCGGGAGTGAAACACTCGCTGGACCAGTAATGGAATCTGGCTTACTTTATTTGGATTCGCGTTCCTGTTTCACAATTGAGCTCAATTGCTCTGATTTTCCGTTGGCAGATGCTGTGGCTAAGTCGCCTTGCTTGCTGACGTTTGCTGCTTGGCCACAGCTTCCCTCGAAGTACGGGATGTGGACCGGTTGCATGCACTCTCGAGTGTTTAGAGGGGAAACATGTCTTCTTCTTTGTCCTGCTTGGTAACAGCTTTCCAGGTTTCAGGGATCCGTGTTTCGCATCGTGCATCCTTCATGTTCTGGATGCCTGTTAGTCCCATCGAGAAGCATGGGGACATCTCTGAAACATTGACAACTTGTCACAGGGAGGAGCTCAAGCCAGCCATGCCATGCCATTTCCGCTGCTGCCATGTAGTCCAGCTTGCCGAGGAGCGACACAGTGCCGGTCGCTTGGAGCGTCGATGGGTCCTGGCTACTGCTATGGTCACCTTCTGCTGCACGCCAGCATTTTGTTGGCACCTTCTGACTTTAGCTGCAACTTTAGCTGCTTCAACTTGCTGTAGCCATGCCTGAAGGGCATGTTTTGCAGCTGCAGGCCTCGCATGACAAAGAGTGATTACCAGCTTCGTCACCTCGAGGCTACTGTCGGTATGCCCTGCCGGCACTGGCCAGCTGGGGATCCGGGCATTGGGAGAGGCAGCTTTCTGAACCGGCAAGCTTTGTGTCAGCAAAACTTCGGATGTATGTTGCCATCAGGATTTGTGAGCAGGGCATCAACTGCGCACATTGATTCGAGACGCTTGTTGATCACCGGCTCTTTTTATCATGGGAGTCGCCGTTTCCTGAACTCCGCTGCACATCACTTTGTCTTCATGTTCCTACATGCATATAGTTTTACGGATGCTGCCGTCTGCGGTTATTTAGGGGTTCGGTCGAGTAGCACGCTGGCCGTGTGGTGAAGGAGTACTATATAGGTCGCTGGGTCGGCTTACCGAGTTCCTGTTCTCGAGCTGAGAGCAATGCGCCCCGTCGTGACGAGTAGTGCATGACCCAACGTCACCCGTTCTCGGGCAGAACCCCTCGGTCCAAGCCTGACAGGCTGGAAGTCAGAAGCGACAGAGCGTAGTGGAAATGCATCTCACGGCCTATTGATGGGACTCTCATCGCAGACTGTATTGGTCCTTGTTTTGCGAGTCTGCGAGTCTTGCTCTTGTCCTCCAATTCGCAGCATGCTAACACACCTCTCAGCATCTTCAGTATAGTCATGAGTCCATGTGCTTGAGAAATGCATCCTATTCTCCGTCTTGACATGCAGGGCCCTGCTTGATGCTCTTCCCATGAGACGCTTCACCTTGCTCTCACATGCTTTTAGAGCCATGCTATGAAGTTTTGATACTTGTGTGAGCGAGGGGAGCTTGCAGGAGTGTGGACGCCAGCGAGTTCGAGCAGACAGTGGGTGGACACAATTCACACGTGAACTTTGCGGTTTTGGTCGTGGTCTCTTTGGGCTGCTTAGAAGCCAGCCGGCTCTGTCTTGCAGCTCCAAAGCACCGCAGCGTTCGCAGCCAAGGCTACCTCTCCATGTTGCATTGCTCATCGAGGCTGATGGAGGCGAGCTCTGAGCTTTGACCAGGAGCCATAGCCATAGCTACGCTAAAGGAAAGCTGGTAAAATGAACCAACCAAAAGTGTGCCTTTTCGTTCAACCTGAGTAGATCACCCATCGCATTCATGAAAAAGCATCCACCCTTTGATTTCGTTCTTTGTTTTGTTTCAGGTACCGACGTGCTGTAAACGCGCGCCGTGCACAGGCCGACCGCATCGGTATTTGCGGTGCTTCGTGGACTTTGCAGCTGAAAACGCTCCGCCTCTCGTGTGTTCTGGGGGGGAGCAGCAGCGCGAGCGTGGAGGCCTCCAAACCCTTGGTATTTACGGTATTTCGAGGACTTGCTCTGTCGAAAACGTCGTCCCTGCCGTAACGTCCAGACAAATTCCGTCCGTCCCCACAGAGCATCCATGTGCCAACCATGATAACGTCCAGACAAATTCCGTCCGTTCCCACAGAGCACCCATGTGCCAACCATGATAACGTCCAGACGAACTCCGTCCGTTCCCACAGAGCACCCATGT